TGTTATTGTATCTCTATTTGACTGTAAATGTTTTAAATGGTGTGTTACATTGTTTGGGTAGTGAGGTTATCATTATTACATCACTTATTATTTTTATTATTGCTAGTTTGAATATCAAGATAAATTTTCCAACAAATAGTTCTACATTTTTCTGTAATTGTTACCTCTAATTATACTGTATACTAGGGATTGGCAACCTTTAGCACGCGGCCCGCCAGTAAGCACCCTGGCGGGGCGGGCCGGTATGTTTACCTGCCACATCCGCAGGTTCGGCCGATCGCGGCTCCCACTGGCTGTGGTTTGCCACTCCAGACCAATGGGGGCTGCGGGAAGCGGTGGCCAGCACATCCCTCGCCCCCACCACTTCCCGCAGCCCCCATTGGCCTGGGACGGCAAATTGCGGCCAGTGGGAGCCGCGATCGGCCGAACCTGCGGATGTGGCAGGTAAACATACCGGCCCGCCCCGCCAGGGTGCTTACTGGCGGGCCGCGTGCTAAAGGTTGCCAATCCCTAGTATACAGTATAATTAGAGGTAACAATTACAGAAAAATGTAGAACTATTTGTTGGAAAATTTATCTTGATATTCAAACTAGCAATAATAAAAATAATAAGTGATGTAATAATGATAACCTCACTACCCAAACAATGTAACACACCATTTAAAACATTTACAGTCAAATAGAGATACAATAACAGAACCACAGTCACACCGCGTGCTGTAAACAGTGAAGGAAGGGTGAGGCTGAAGCAATGTCCAGGGTGAACGAGATAAGGCAGCTGGGCAGTATCAGCAGGGGAGCAGGTGCAGGAGAAGAGGGAGATACACATTCACAAGAGCAGGAGATGAGACCAGAACAAAACAGACACGAAGGACAGACAAAATAAAGAGCAGAAGGAGACACAGTGATTCACTTTTTCAAAGGGGCAAAATAGCCATCTCATTAGCAGACATGTTTCCCTACTATTACTTTCCCACATAAGCAACTGGTTCAGTTGCCACAGGGATGTTATGCTAGTATAAATGGGAGCAGAGATGGTCCATGCAGTTAAAAACAAGTCAGAGGAACCACAGGATAAATCTCTCTCAAGTTATGGGCCAGACCATGAGAAAGTTTAAGGGCCCCTGATTTAGCTCGATATCCATTTGCTGGAGAAATTCACTCAAAAATCTACTTTGTTAGTTTTAAGCACCCAAGGACTCACTTTGGTGACTTGAGGTCTCGGTGGATGATTTTATGAAGGTGTAAATAATTCATTCCACTTGCGATCCCTGTGGACCAGTCCACAAGCAGCCGAGGCGTGACTTTCCGACCTGCTCGTAGCACTTCATAGAGCTGTCCATGTGCACAGTACTCCATGATAATACAGTAACATGGGGCTTGAGTGCAAACTCCCCTGTCAGAGAACACACACAAACACCATACACGTTACTGCAAATCAAACCCAACACTCAGTATCAAAGGGATTCTCTGAACTCAAAAATATACCATTGTGATCATGAAAGCTCACCGACTTTCATGGCAGGGAGCTGTAGAGGCTCAGCGAATATGAAAATTAGACCATTGTTCTTTATCTGGAACGTATCAACTGTGCACCTGACTCATTTGTGGAGAAATTAAGTTTCTCTATAGAAGCAGAAGCTGCTCTGTAGGTTTATGTCTTTGGCTTTTATGTTCTGGTATTGACCTTCATTCTCCAGGGATACAGGCACAGGAACGCAGACATTGCCATACAGGTCCAGATCAGACTACAGAGCCTCCTGGTCAAGCAATGACAGGGGCTTCCAATGCTTCACAGGAAAACAAAAAATATGCCTTAGTAAATGCTCAATCAGGAAGAGCTCTGGAACACCAGACACATAGCAAATACAAACTTTAGTGTAGTTCATTGCCAAAATGCCTGAAGAGAGCTAACCTTCCATCAGAAAACTTCCATTCTATGAGACCCCATTAGTCTCCCAGCATTTTGATTAACCAGCTAATAATGTGACACTATTAGCTTAAAAGTAATATTTCTGTTACTATTTCCTCTACATTTTCTCCTCCTCCCTTCCCACTAAGATTACAGAAAACAGATCCATCTCTAGTCAGCAGGACTTAGACTTTATTTTTTACTTTGGGTTTGTTTGTATTTGTTTGTGTGGTGTTCCTACGTCAAAGTTAGGTCAAAATAGTAGGTTTTATATTTATTCCATATATTGTCAGACATGCTTTGGAGAAACATGGCTTGTGTTCATTCAACCACTGCAGTCACCTTCTAACTTGTCACATAATTCGTTTGGTTGGCTTGCCTTCTACTAAGTCACTCTGGGCTCAGTTTTACAGTTGCGTCACGTGAAGAGCTCCCACTGAATCAGCAGGAATTCCACATTAAAGCAGCTCTAACCTGGACCTTGTATTAGTATTCAGCCAAGTTAACAGAATAAGGGTTCATCTCCACTCCATTTGGAGCTAAATTCTTACTAACACTCCTTACAGTAAGGAAATCATTTCTGTCCACCATATATTTTAGTACTATTCAAAAATCCTCTTGCAGCAAAAGTTAAATTAGGTTGGGAAGTATCTGCAGGCATCACTTAGATAACAAATGGGGTTAGGAGTAAAATCTACTTAGATTATTTGTCTGTACTATATGGTTTGTCTCCTTAGGACATGGACTGTGTCCATGTTTTGTACAGCACTGAGCATATCAACCATGTCCAGTAAGTAACTCCAGTAATAAATTACCTACTTACACCACAGATCTGCAAGACCTGGTTTTGCTTTATGCACACTTGTGTTATGCCTGCTCCGAGAAGATCTGTTGCAAGTTCAAGTACAATTCAGTTCAGTCCTTTAAGAGGACGAGGGCAGTAGAGACTGATAGTACTGAGGGAGCTCTTGCCTTTATGTTTTGCAATAACATGAATTCAGATCTGGTTAATGGCAAAATTCTGTCCTTGCAGCAAGAACATTGTTGGAGGGAAGCAATAAAGTTTTGGCTTTAGGAAGGGTCCATACACCATCCTGCCAGCCCAGGCTGAATGCAGTGTGCAGAATACCTCATTCTGTCCCCTAAAAAGCAGCATTTCCAATCCCCACGTGTGCTGCTGACTACAGTATACGTGCAGGTGGATGGGCCCACACCAGCAAAGCCAGCACACACCCCATCAGTGCATCAGCCATGCCCTGACCTAGCAACTCAATAGACACTGACAAGGAAATCCTCCCCACTTGCTGTGAGAGAGAAGAAGCAGCACCCTCAGAGCTCTTCTGATTTAAACACACCTGTGCAACATAGAACGCAAGTTGCCCTGAGTGTTCACACTTTCATGGGATACTCGCATAACACAGAGTTAGGCTTGTGCTTAAATACCTTGAAAAGTCGGGATTTAACTAAAAAGCAGGTTGGAAAAAAGGCCATGTCCTTTAAGACATTCTCTGGCGTACGGGCCATCTCAGAGAGTCCTCAACCTGCTGAGGAGAGCACACCATCACATAGCCCTCTCAAATCACATTTCACAGAGCCTTGCAAACTTGTCCTGCCGAGATCTGCTCCTAGGATGAGACCCTGAACCTGTCCTGATGCAGGCAAGCTACAGCCCAGGAGGAATCCTTGGTAGTCCCTGGGAATTTTAAAACCTAAATAAGGACAACAGTAGATCTTTCTTTGTTCGCTCCCAGACAGTTATGACTAGAGAATGCACCTTCCACAGAGTGTGAGCTACACCAATTGCAAGACTGTGCTCTTGTGCCAGTCATCTAGATAAGGACAGACCTGCATGCCCCAGTGACATGGATTAGGCACCATCCCAGCCAGTTACTCAGTGATCACCCATGGATTGCTGCCAGTTGGAAAGGGAGCATTTTGTACTGGTAGTTGTTGCTGCCCACCATAAACCTGAAGCTGTTCCTGTTCTCTTGTCTGAATGTTCTTGGTTCTCACCATTGTCTTTAAATAGCTTCACTAAGCATAGCTGGAGCCCGTGGAGCACAGTCGAAGGAGCAACTCATACTCACTCAAGGGGGAGAGGAGTTGCTCTTCTGATCAGATCTGTTCACTCTGCCTGACTACAGCTCTATGCATTGCCTTCCTTCTACCCAGTAGTGAGGCTCTCCCCGATGGATAGGACAGGAAAAGTTTCCCATGGGCTTTGTGCAGGGGGAAATCTCTGTGGCAATAGTTTCCCTGGTCTTTCCTTTTCCTGTAGATGTGCGAAGTTCACAGGACTGTGTTTGTGTGTGTATGAATGTCAATATGACCTCTCTGGGTTGGAATGTTGCACGCCACTTAACAGTGCCCACAACACTACATATCTCTTTGTGAGAGGAGGGGCAGAATGCGTTTCCAGTTTTAACTATAGAAGATTGGATAAACCAGAAGGTAATTCCTGTACTCGGAACTCACCAATTGGCCAGGACATGATGGCTAACAATGCCTTCTCTTGGGAAAAAACAGGTTATTACTTTTCTAGTAATTATCTAGATAACAGAAGTCATGACCTACTTGAAGGCTATGATGTTAGGATGCTTCAGCTTCCGCAAGTGCTTGATGTCTGTTTCATTCTGTTCTCTCACTTTCTTGATTGCCACCTCCTCCGCTCGGAATTTGCCTAAGAAGACAGCTCCTTGTGCTCCACTGCCCAACCACTGCAGCTCTGAGATCTCCTCAAATGGAACTTCCCATGTATCTGGTAATACACAAGCGAGGCACACAGCTTAGAAAATCTTCAAGTTCATGCAGTGCTCTGCTGCAAGGTCATACCAGAGACAGCAACTGTCAACTCCTCTGTCATCTCTTATGACCTTTTCACAAAGTAGCTCAGTAACACATTCAAAATCTTTGTGAGCTGCTGATGCGATACAATAAGTTAATATACTAGAGACTTTCACATCTGAGGATTTGGAGAGTGTCCCTTCTTCGGTGAAGTTCAAGGAGGGAGGGAGGAGGGCTGTACAACATTAAACATATAACTATAGACAATCCAAACACTCCGATAAAAGGAAACGTTTAAAATCCACAATAGCCAAAACAAATTGAAGGGTTTTTCTACTGGAAAATCAAAAAATCATAGAAGTGTAGAACTAGAAGGGACCTCATTAGTCATCTAGTCCAGTCCTCTGCACTCAAGGCAGGGCTAAGCTATAACTAGACCATTCCTGACAGGTGTTTGTCTAACCTGTTCTTAAAAACCTCTAATGACAGAGATTCCATAACCTCCCTGGGCAATTTGTTCCAGTGCTTAACTACCCTGACAGTTAGGAAGCTTTTCCTGATGTCCAACCTAAACCTCCCTTGCTGCAATTTAAGCCTATTGTTTCTTGCCCTACCCTCAGAGGTTAAGGACAACAATTTTTTACCCTCCTTCTTGTAACAACTTTTAATGTACTTGAAAACTGTTGACATGTTCCCTCCTGCTTTCCCCAGTCTTCTCTTCTCCAGACTAAACAACCCCAATTTTTTCAATTTTTCCTCATAGATCATGTTTTCTAGACCTTTAATCATTTTTGTTTAAATGGGGTAAAACAGGGCATAGAAGGGAAGGCAATAAATATGGAGCCAACAGTGGGCAGAGTATAAAACAGTGGTGGGCAACCTGCGGCTTGCAATCAGATTACCCTGATGGGCCGCATGCGGCCTGCAGGCTGCAAGTTGCCAACCACGGTATACAAACTAAAAGCTGTTTAAAAAGCTAGCTAAGGTTGCTCAGTGACAACAACTAAGTTACCTAACACATCATTTGGAAAACCCACGCACTTAAAGCAAGATAAGTTAAGTATGTCATAAGAATCAGAGGGGTAGCCGTGTTAGTCTGGATCTGTAAAAAGCGACAAAGAATCCCGTGGCACCTTATAGACTAACAGAAGTATTGGAGCATAAGCTTTCATCGGTGAATACGTCTGATGAAGTGGGTATTCACCCACGAAAGCTTATGCTCCAATACTTCTGTTAGTCTATAAGGTGCCACAGGACTCTTTGTCG